TTGCACCTTCTAGGTGTTTTGTTCAGGATCTGACGACAGGGCGGGAGATAGGTAGGGGCAGAAAGCATGGGTGCATATTCCACCTTGACCGGCTTGTCGCTCCATCATCATCATCAGATTCCCCCGGTTCCTTTTTGGTGTCTAGGACTTCTTCTATTCTTGATTTTTTGAGTCTCCTTGATAAAGCTTTTTCGTTGTGGCATGCTCGGATGGGTCATCCAAATTATAGTTGACTTATGACCATGTTTAATCAACAATTGTTTGGTGAAAAGAATAAAGTGAAACAGTCGGATTTTTCGTGTACCAGTTGTGTTGAGGCAAAGACTATGCATATTTCTTTTCTGTCTAGTTTCTGAACCTTTCCATCAGATCCATACCGATCTTTGGGGTCCTAGTCCGACTACGTCATAGCTAGGATTCAAATATTTTGCTCTTTTCGTAGATCATGCCACTCGATATACATGGGTTTGTTTTCTTCGTTTGAAATATGATCTTCTTTCTGTTGCCACCGATTTTCTCAAAATAATCCAGACTCAATTCGGCGGTACTGTTCGTGTTGTCATATCCAAACTAGGGGGAGTTTAGCTCGAATCCTCTTCTTGAGCTATATTCATCCCTTGGCATTCTTACTCAAAAGTTTTGTCAGGGTGTTTCCCAACAAAATGGTATTGTTGAACGTAAAAATCTTCAAGTTGTCGAAGTCACTCGAGCTCTTCTGTTAGCTTCTCATGCTCCATCATTCTTCTGACCTGAAACCGTGTCTACCGCTATACGTCTCATTAACTGCCAGATCACAAATGTCCTTAGTCAGTTCAGTCCTTACTATAAACTGTTTCGTAAAAATCCTCCGTATTTCCGTCTCCGAGTCTTTGGGTGCCTTTGTTTTGTTCTTCTTCCTCGTTTTGAACGTACCAAGTTAACTTTGGAAGTCGCTTGTTGTGTCTTCCTAGGCTATAGTGACGTTCATAAAGGATACATTTGCTATGATCCCTCTCTTCGACGTCCTAGGATGGCTTGCAACGTCGTTTTCTTTCAAAACTTGATGTTCTACTCTGCTTCCTCCGAGTCCACCCCTCTGTTTGCATCTTGACTCACTCTTCCCTCGTACCCTGATGATAATGATGAGGTTGATGATGCTGCCCCTGCTACCCTCGTTTCCCCTGACCCCACCGCCTTCTCCTGCCCCCTCGTCGTCTGGTGATTCTTTCTCGAATGATGACGATGGCTCTCTTTCCCCGCCACTTGCGTCGGCTCCGCCTTGCCGCTCTACTCGTTCCAACTTTGGCCAGCCTCCAGCATCTCATTGTGACTATTTATCTTACCAGGTTGATCCTATTGTGATCCTATTATGATCCCCACTCGCTACTCCCAGGCGAAAGGGCATTCTCACTGGGACAAGGCGATGGATGATGAATTTTCAGCTCTTCACGCCCAGAATACTTGGGTTTCATTGCCTCGTCCTTCTCTTGAGATTTTAGTGGTTGGCAGTCGATGGGTTTACAATATCAAGGTCAATCCGGATGGTTCTATCAAGCGATATCAGGCTTGTGTTGTTGCACAGGGATATACACAGGAGTTTGGTGTTGACTTCGACGAATCTTTCGCCCCTGTTGCAAAGATGCTCACTGTTCGGGCTCTATTAGCTGTTGTGGCTATGCATCACTGCCTCTTTACCATCTGGATGTGAAGAACGCCTTTCTGCATGGCGATCTTAAGGAAACTATCTATATGGAGCGTCTGCCTGGCTATCCTCTTGGTACTCCTGATCAGGTTTTCCTTTTGCAGCGTTCGTTATATGGCTTGAAACAAGTGCCTCGGGCCTAGTTTGATAAAAATTTCAGACGACGATCTTGGTTATGGGATTTCAACAGAGTTGCAACGATCATTCTCTATTTACTCAGTGTACATCTCGAGGTATGGTGGTTCTTCTCTTGTCCGTTGACGACATGATTATTTCTCATGATGATGAGGTCGGAATTGCTGCTCTTACAAAGGGTCTGCACGAGTCCCTCCACCTTAAGGAGCTCGGCTCCCTCTTTTGCTATTTGGGTCTTGAGTTACTCGTTCTTCGGAAGGTATTCTTCTCAGTCAGACCAAATACATTGATGATTTACTTGATCCAGCTCGATACAATGACCGTGTACCTGTTTCTATTCCTATGGAGCTCAAACTCAAGTTGGGCAAAGAGACTGGCAAGCTGTTACCTGATGGGGGGAAGCAGTATAGACATCTTGTTGGGAGTTTGATTTATCTGGCCTCTACGCGGCCTGACATTGCATATGCGGTGCAAATCGTCAATTAGTTAATGTGTACATCGAGGACAGCTCACCTGGATGCAGTTCATAGGATCCTCCGTTATCTTAAGGGCACTCGTGAGGTTGGTCTATTTTTTCTTTCTGCTGGGTCAACACTTCTTCAGGCATTCTCTGATTCGGACTATGCGGGGTGTATTGACACACGTCGTTCCACTACTAGGTGGTGTATTCGTCTTGGTAATTATGTTATTACCTGGTGGTGCAAGAAACAAGATCGCGTTTCTAAATCTTCCACTGAGGGGGAATATCTTGCAATGTCGGACGTGACTTCTGAGCTGGAATGGTTGAAGCGTCTCTTGGCAGATCTTGGTGTTCAATGTACTTCACCGCTGGAGCTGTATGTTGATAATACTAGTGCGATCCGCATTGCCACCAATCTAGTTCTTCATGATCGCACTAAACACATCGATGTCCATGTTCATTATATTCGATATCTTGTCAAGGATGAGACTATCCGCATCTACTACATTGCTTCAGAGGATCAGCCAGCCGATTTATTCACGAAGACCTTTACTGGCAGTCGTCATTCTTTTCTCTCTCGCAAATTGATGATGAGGTCTCCCCATCAATTTGGGGGAGGCTGTTGAGATAGTTTGGTCATTGTAAAAAGGGCCAAAGGCCCACGTCAATGCATGGTCATGCTTAATGATGATTGGGTCATGCTATTATGGTTTCTCGCTAGAGTTAGTGAAGGAGTTGTCCCTGGACATGTATAGATATGTACTTTGAGAGGTCTTGGCCTACCAACACAATAAGAGAAGTATCGATCTTGCCCGTGGACTAGTCTTAATCATAATGATCAAAGAAACCACACAAATCTGTTTTCGTTTCGTATTTCCGTTACTGTTTAATTAGCTTCTGCTAACATTGACATAATAATTAATAAATTTAAGGGTGTACAAAAAAAAATCTGGTTGACATGAGCTTTTTTTAGGAAAAAATCCAAAAGTACCACTGTTTAAAAAAAAAATTTCAAAAATACCACCCAACCCCAAAAAATTCCAAAAATACCACCCTTTTCAAAAACCGCCACCCCCCCTGCGGTTTACACGAAAACCGTTTGTCGGAGGCGCGGTTTTCTATGCAAACCGCGGGCCTAGGGGCGGTTATAAAAAAAAAAATTTTGACCAAACCGCTGGGTGGGGTGGCGGTTTTGGGTCAAACCGCCACCCCACCCAGCGGTTTGGTCCAAATTTTTTTTTTTTCGATCAACTCCTAACTTCGGCCGAAACTTCAAACGAACGTAACTTTTCACTCGGGTATCCGATCGTAGCGATTTGTTTTTTCATTTCGCATAACTTTTCAAGATCTACAACTTTTACTAGAATGAAATTTTCAAAATTGGAACTATTTGTGGATATACGGGACCTTTGGAATAACTTTACCTTTACTTTTCACAAATTCATGTATATTTTGAAATTATGATTATATTAAAAGTTGTAGATCTTGAAAAGTTATGTGGAATAAAAAAAAATCATGAAATTCGGATTTTGGAGCACAAAGTTATGGCCGCCCAAAGTTTGACGAAATCAAAAAAAGGCTCGTTCGGGGTGGCAAATGATGTTTTTTCGAGACGAAGGCGGGACCAGGCGGTTTGCGGCTTGCAAGATCTCAAAAATTTATTCGGATTCAAAAAATGGAGGCCGCAAACTTTTTGAGATCTTGCAAGCCGCATACTGCCGGGTCTCGCATTTCGTCAAACTTTGGGGCCTCCATTTTTTGAATCCGAATAACTTTGCGGCCTCCATTTCGTCAAACTTTGGGGCCTCCATTTTTTGAATTCGAATAACTTTTTGAGATCTTGCAAGCCACAAATCGCCGGGTCCCGCCTTCGTCTCGAAAAAACGTCATTTGCCACCCCGAACGAGCCTTTTTTTGATTTCGTCAAACTTTAGGCGGCCATAACTTTGTGCTCCAAAATCCGAATTTCATGAATTTTTTTTTGATTCCACATAACTTTTCAAGATCTACAACTTTTAATATAATCATAATTTCAAAATATACATGGATTTGTGAAAAGTAAAGGTAAAGTTATTCCCAAGGTCCCGTATATCCACAAATAGTTCCTGTTTTGAAAATTTTATCCTAGTAAAAGTTGTAGATCTTGAAAAGTTATGCGAAATGAAAAAAAAAATCGCTACGATCGGATACCCGAGTGAAAAGTTACGTTCGTTTGAAGTTTCGGCCGAAGTTAGGAGTTGATCGGAAAAAAAAAATGGACCAAACCGCTGGGTGGGGTGGCGGTTTTACCCAAAACCGCCACCCACCCAGCGGTTTGGTCAAATTTTTTTTTTTTTTTTATAACCGCTCCCTAGGCCGGCGGTTTGCATAGAAAACCGCGCCTCCGACAAACGGTTTTCGTGTAAACCGCAGGGTGGGGTGGCGGTTTTTGAAAAAGGGTGGTATTTTTGAAAATTTTTGGGGTTGGGTGGTATTTTTGGAATTTTTTTTTTAAACAGTGGTATTTTTGGATTTTTTCCCTTTTTTTATATATGAGGTGGAAGACACATCACCACTAAATGCTGAGTCATGGATGAAACAAATGTTTAACTGTCAATTTTAACGGTCAATTCAAATTTTGGGCCAAATCTGTCCATTGATTTGAAAAATTGACAATAAATATCTTATTGGTAATTCGGGCCAAAAGTGACACTTTCACCAAATTTCGGGCCAAACCGGCTACTAACCGTTTGAAAAATGAAGAAGGCTTCTGGAGAAAGTGCAATTTATTTATCAAACTGTTACACTAAGAAAGTGCAATGGCAGATTCTGGAGATCACAAAGTGGGAAGAAGGAACCCTCAAGTCTGAGAGATTCGTCGCCGGCGATTGCGAATGGTATGGATTTGTTGGCCGAGCGAGCCGGCAGTCAGGCTGTCTTTAATTTTTAGGGTTTACGAGGAGTTAGTGGTATATTCTTATATAGTTCTCCCCCCTCTTCTGACCACAGGATCATCGTTGCCAAGTTAAAGAACGTTTGCGGTGAAGATTATCTCTCTCTATTTCTGCGTTGTTGTACCGATAAGGGAGCAAGGGACTACGGTTGTCGAGACATTTTCGCCGATTACAGCTTCATCGTCGTCAACCGATTGTGGGGAGCCGAATCATTAATCGAAGGTTGGATAGTTTATTTCATCAGCTTGTGGTACGTGTTCCTTGCTTAATCATATGTTGACTTAGTTAACTCACGTCCCACAGGTGGGAAACGCCATTTTAGAGTAGGTGGGAAAGGCTGGGGATTCAAATCTTTGATTCGACTGGGAGATCTTCTCAAGCCCCTCAAAGGGTTCCTTGTGAATGATGATATCCTTATTCGAGCTCATGTTTCTACAGTTAAAGTAATGAGTCAGTTACCCCAGCCACTGCGTTATTTTTCTCCCCACAGCACAAGTTAGAATGTATATGCGTTTAAATTTGTCGATTAATAAGTTAGTGTTGCACGGACATGCTTTGCTGCAGCAAGAATCGACATGGTTGTCTGACCTTGATGATAGAACCCAGGAGGAATACACACCTGGAACTCATCATCAGGCAGGAGCAGCAGCAATAGCAGCAGCTGCGGATTCTGATACAACTGAAGAAACGGACATTGGTTCTGAGGCACCATTAATTCGAGCTCATGTTTCTAAAGTAATGACTCACTCCTGACAATACGTACTATCTTTTCCCTCACAGCACAAGTTGGAATATATATGCTTTTAAATTAGTTGATTAATAAGTTAGTACATGTAGGGACATGCTTTGCTGCAGGAAGAATCGACATGGTTGTCTGATTTTGAGGATAGAACCCAGGAGGAAGACACACCTCGAACTCGTCATCAGGCAGGAGCAGCAGCAGCAGCGGATTTTGATACAACTGAAGAAACGGATATTAATTCTGAGGCATCTGCTGATCACCAAGAAGAAGAGGAAGAAGCATCGGATTCTGACACATCTGAAGAAACGGAGATGAATTTTGATGCACCTGCTGATCACCAAGAAGAAGAGGAAGAAGCATCGGATTCTGACACATCTGAAGAAACGGACATGAATTCTGATGCCCCTGCTGATCACCAAGAAGAAGAAGAATAAGCATCGGATTCTGACACAGCTGAAGAAACGGACATGAATTCTGATGCACGTGCTGATCACCATCAACAACCTAATGGCGTCATAGCTGGATCCATCGCGGAACCAATGAATGAGAGGCTCTCCTCCGGACGCAGAATTGATTGTGTAGCTCATCAGGATCCTGAAAGGCTTCAGGCTACCACTTTATCAGGTCAAGAGGTACCATTAAGATTATTGCTGGACACAAGTTACTGCATGCTTTCTTAATTATCAGTGAGCAGGTACGAGATGGTTAATGTCATATTTGCAAGGCCAAATCTTTGATGTACACCATCCAATATAGCAATTTGGATTAAGGATTCTGGGTTTGCAGAATATACCATTTCTTGCTGCGGGGCTCGGAAAAAGGGTGTGGTGTATGTGCATATATGCTTGTTGAATATTTGTAGTTTAGGAGCAAGATTTCGCTTTAGTTTCACTCAAGATTAAGGTCAAAAGACTCAACAATTCACTCTAATCTAGTTTACTAATATCTGTACAAAAACTTTATTATATACTTAATGAGCAACAAAGAAACCTAATTCCTTTCTATAAATAGAATACTTTCCTATTTAAAATACTGTAAATTAAAAAAAAAATTACTAAGATTCATGACTTGCGACTAAAGAGAAACTAATAAAATGAGCCAAAATTTGGTCCATAACTGCATCTCAGGGATATCTATGGCTGGTACCTGTGGATTGATCAAGCAAATTGCGTAGGAGTGGACCAAGTGTAACTTAAATTTAGAGTTAACCGGATCTTTGTGTTGCACTAATCATGCTTTGCTTGCAGGAGCAGCCTACTGATCAGCCTGATGGTGCCAACAACCCACCAACGAAAGAGTGCCTTCCAGAACAGAGAAGTGAAGCTGTTGAACAACCAGCAGCTATGGTTTTGGATTCAGCTACTGAACGGCCTGCAGCTACACCATTATCGAGTCAGGTAATGATACTCAGCACTTTTGAAACCTTTCCGAATGGGAGTATTATTAGGGGAAGTGACCCAGCCGGCTAGCAATCTTGAAACTACTAACTTCAAGTTGGTGGCTTCTCCCATTTCTTCAGCTCGCCGGGGATGTTAATATTACTGAAACTAATGATCAGAGCTCCCAGCCCCACTCATTAACAAGTTTGCTATTAGCTTCAAGAAACTTGAGAGCAGAACTTTCAGCCGCGACCAGCAATATGAAATGCGCTGCAGTCAACGATTCTTCTGCCTCACTAGTGCAACGGCAACGAGAAAAAATGATTGCCTACTTGAACTTGCCGCTCGTAGAGATCCACAAAACCGATTCGTTCGAAGATGTCGAGGAGACTGCTCTCCTATTTGCTGATCCAAGTGATGAGACAACTGTGAAGGGCTTAATTTTGGAACTCAAACGCGGCGTATCTGGCTCCATGCATGCCATCGAAACTTCCCATGCCACTGAAGCTTCTGTGGCACAGAGGAATGAGGACATGGAAGCGAGGCTTGTTCACAGGCAGAAGCAGTTGAGCTGCTTGGAGGGCGAATTTTTCCGACTTGGGGAAGAAGGAAAGAAGCTTGATGCTGAAATCCAGCAATTGATTGCTCGTAAGATCAGGGTTGAGGATCAGACGAAGACCACCGTCGGTGCATTGAGGAAGACGAGGGAGAGAGCTTGCAAGGAATTGGAAGAGGCCAAGGAGCAAAGCAACAAACGGAAGCGGGCTTGTGAGAATCGGTTGGTTGCCGAGGAGAATCTTGCTCAGTTCAATACAAGTTGGAAGCTTTTGAAGTCTACGTTGGGAGTGTGACTCTTGGACTCTGAAGGGCTTAATTTTGGAACTCAAACGCGGCGTATCTCGCTCCATGTATGTCATCGAAACTGGGAGATATGATGCCTTGAGTTAGAAGTAGATAGAAGCTTGCAAGTAATATTGGGGTCCTGCTATCTGACTCAATTAACTTAGTTTTGCTAATCAACGTACTAATTTATTCCAAGCTTTGAAACCTGTTTTTGTTGCCATACAGCTACAGGTCCAAACCCGGACCAATTTGTTACCATCATTGGCTCATTATCCGTTGTATTAGGCTTGTAAAAGGGCATGTTTTTTTTTTATATTTAAAAAGTGCAAGGTTTTTTAATCGTGGCTATGGTAGCTATGTCAGTTGTTCAAGTAATCAGAAATAGATTAAGTTGTGTTATTTTTCTCTTTTAGCACAACTATGCCCGTGAGGATTTGTGGATATTCAACTTCGTCGTGGCGTCTGTTTGGGGTTATTATATATTATTACTTTTTTATATAGAAATCTGGCTAAACTTTCATTAATAGGTTAAAGCGGTTTCATTAATGGGTGGTCGGTCCAACCAAACCATCCTCTCGTTCCAACTTGTCATCGCATGTGCCATAATATGGGCAGAGTTATTCCCCTCCCTGCAAAAATGTTTCCACGTCCCTGCTCCCGTAGCCATCAAATAACCCATGTTTGGGGTTATTGACTACTGCTTAATCAATTTTTTATTTCATATAAAAATATATTAATGCCAGAATTTGAACCATGATCTCTTCCATAAAAAACAAGAATTGTAACCAATTAGACTAGACACATTTGTTGTACTTTATTAATACAAAACAAAGAGGAAGTTAAAATTATAAAAAAGAGAGTACTTTTCTATCACGGTTAGTTAGCTCGCTAAGTCTCCTGTAAGTAATTTGTAGTGTTTGATAATTCTATTTTCATATTTTAATAATTAATTTAGAATTTTTTCTAATTTATAAATGAAGGATAATCTTAAAATCTCAACACATAATCCAACCATTTATCCCAGATAATTTTCTATCCAGATTCTTCCCTTAAATAAAGGCAAGGAAACGAAAAATCGCAACAGCAATAACAAAGAAGCATATTTAGACTGAAAAATTAACGATTCTTGTTCATTTATTCAACACTACGAACGTACTGCCGGTACACCAAAACCCTTTCTTACAAAGTCTTCCTATCCAGACGTCATCAAACGGTCAGTGATAACATCCGCGATATTGCTATACAAAACCAGGTAACCAACCCTAACTTCCAGCGACGGCTCCGACACTCTCCCGGCGGCCAAAGCCGCCCGGCAGCTCCTCGCATCGTCACCGGCGATCTTCGAATCGTAATTGGCAGACATCACGTCCTCGTCGAGCTCCACCAGCGCACCGCCAAATGAACCCGCAGCCGCTGAGAGCCACGATGCGCAGCTCTTCAAGGTGGGCCGGGCCAGATGGGGCGCCGCGGCCAAAAGTCGGGCCTCCACATATTTCTGGGCCTCTTTGGCAGTGGCGATGCCGGATTTGAGGGTGATTTGGGCCAGACCTTTGAGATCGGCGGACCGCGAGCCGGGTTTCGAGGCGAATGTGGCTACGCAGGCCTTGAATGTGGTGGGAGGGACTAAGGCGGCTTGCTGGCAGATGTCTTGGACGAGGTTTGGGGATTGGGAAGAGGAGAAATGAAAGAGGGAGATGATTAGGGTTAGGGTTAGGAATATGGCTGGAAATGTGGTGGTGATCATGGGATAAACCATGTTTAGGGAATGGGGATTATTGGGTAATGGAGATTTGTGGGAGGGTAAAATGAAAGAAAGAAGAAGAAATGACTATGGAGAAGTTTCTTATAGTTGAGTTTTTTTTCTTCTTCTTTTGTTGGAAGGAGATTGAAAGATGGAAAGAAATCTTTCGTCAGAATATTATGTTTGTGAAATGTACCTGTTCAAGATTCGAAATGGATTATGTTTGCCCAAATTGGAAATTAGAATAATGTAAGGTTATTGACCAACGTCCATATTGAACTACAATCTTACCTTGTTCCTATTTGAATCTTGAACTTTCATGATTTGGTTATCCGATACATGAACATCGCTTTTGGTCATACCAGTTCATGAATGTATATTTTTTTGTTATCAAAATACACGATCTTACTATTTGTTGGTATTTCTAATTAGAATTGATAACATGTCATTAACTATAGTTAAATATACCATGTCATGTGTAATTTATAACGTACTAAAATATATATTTTTATGGGCACATATTCAAAACTTGTAAATGATAAAAAAATATTTTAGTTATTTGATTGCCCATTACAACGTTCCAAAAAGGATAAGCCGATGAAAAAAGAACAAACCCTAATATTTCTAATCAACTTAATTAAAAAAATAAGACGAAATAATATTAATAAGGAAAATCATGAATAATATAAAAAATACATAACACTTACAATGATAATTTCTCAAGGTTAATGTCAAAATTTATCAAGGTTAATGTTAGAAAGTGGTGAATCGATAAAGATTAATACGTTGATATGAATTGATGATAGTCAATGGTGGTTAGTGTGAGAGAACTAGATGGTGTTGATGGAGGAGAAGGAAAAGAGGCACACTTTTGCAAATTCTCGAGAAAATAAGTAAAGTAACTCAAAGATTTAAATCGTAAAATTGCAAGATTTTAGAGATTTTAAGGATTTGAATCGTGAATAGTGTAGGATTTTAAAGCCCATGGATCTACAGTGAAATCTGGATCAGAATAAGTAATAAGTAAAATCATAAAAATTTAGGATTTAAATTTTGATTTTGACTACTTTGTAAATAAGAAGCTCATCTAGCGTGATGACCAAAACATGACATAATGTGCTGGTATGACCAAAAGTAATGTTCATGTCCTGGGATGACCAAATCATTAAAGTTTTAGGGTCAAATTGACCTTGTTGCCTAAAATTAATTGTGGAAAAAATTTGAATCTGAAGTAGTCGTTGCATCCCTGTGTAAAGAGAGGAAGCACAAGAGGTCAAGAGGATCTAACCAGATGATGCAATCCTCCATAGAGATGGCAACAAAACCCGAACTCATGGGTACCCACTCGATCAACACGGGTAAAACCCGTGTTCAGGTTTAAACCCGCTACACTATTCACCGAGTCGGGTTGGGTTTGGGTTTAGGTAAACCCGCCCCATGGGTTCACGTCCACACACATATAATTACTTTCCCGGTATTTAATATTCTAAATAATGTATCTCCTTAAACAACAAATATTCTTTATGTTTGTGGAGACATGTATAATTTGTTCTTTCTAATTGTTTAGAATGAAGTTGATATTATGAAGTGGAGAGTGAAGAAACTTAGTTGACGAGGAAGAAGCTTTCAATTAATCTTATTGTTTATAGATGTTTATCTTTAATTTTGAACAATTTGTATTGATCATTTGCGGTTTGCTTGTATGCTCTGGATTGGTGTTTTTTGTATGAATAATTTGTATGAGAAAATCGATGTTAAACTTTTATTTTGAAAGAAACTTGTTATTGTAAATTTTTTACCACAAAAACTCACGGGTATCCATGAACCCGCAAATACCCAGCGGGTTGGGTTTGAGTTTTTCAAACCCAGCAGGTTTTACCCCGATTTTTTTGGCGGATAAACCCGGTTTGGGTTTGACAAAACCCACCCCAACCCGACCCATTGCCATCCCTAATCTTCCATAGTTAGGGATGGCAATGAGACGGGTTGGTTTGGGTTTGGCAAACCAATGGGTTTATCCGGGGTAAAATCCACTGGGTTTGAAAAACTCAAACCCAACCCAACCGACCGGGTATCTGTGGGTTCATAGGTACCCATGGGTTTTTGTCGTAAAAATTTATAATTACAAGTTCCTATCAAAATAAAAGTCAAATATCAATCTCTCAATACAAATTACCCATATATAAAACACCATTCTAGAAAATTCAAGCAAATCACAAATTAACCATACAAATTGTTCAACACCAATATAAAAAACTCAAGAAAATTGAAGCAAATCACAAATTATCCATAAACAACATGATTAATTGAAAGCTTCTTCCTCCTTGTCAATTAAGCTTCTCTTCCACTCGATAATATCAAATTCATTCTACACAATTAGAAAGAAAAAATTAGACATATCTCCACAAACATAAAGAAGATTAGTTGTTTAGAATATTAAATATACCGGGAAAATTAATTATATGGGTGTGGGCGGGTACCCATGGGACACGTTTACCTAAACCCAAACCCAACCTTACCTGGTGAATAGTGAACGGGTTTAAACCCGAACCCGGCACAAAACCCGTCAACATGGGTTTTACCCGCGTTGACCGGGTTGAATCGGGTAGGGTACCCGTGGGTTCGCGTTTTGTTGTCATCCCTATCCATAGAGACCCAACTCACGCAACTGCTCGATGTGGAAAGAAGGATGTACCAAGTGGAAGCAAGAAGATGGGCGGGAGTCAAAATCTCCGATCAGATGTGGGGATTCCCCGCCCGGAAATTAGGAGTAACCAGGGAATTTGGCCAGGAAGGATTCCTCGAGTTAAAGAGGCAATTACCCACCAGGGTATTTTTTGGGGCACCCTAGAGATTTCAACAAGGGGTTTTCTCTGCAAGTTAATTGCATTGATGTATGTGAATGAAATTAATATTAGTTGGATTACAAAAAAGTTAACATGTTATTGTAAAAAAAAATTGAGATGGCAATAAAGAATACAAATATAAATGTTTTCACAATTGCACTGAGTTGGATGCTCTTAGCCTCTAACCTCTTGCAATGCTAAAATAAAATAGGGCCTACAACTATGGGGAGCATAACTGTTGTGTCCATACTAGATTTGACTAGGACTGGTATTCGATCGGTACTCGGTATACCGGTAACCGATTACCCAGTTTTGGTATATCGAGCATTAATGTTGGGGTCATTGAATACCGATGTTGAATTTTAGCCGGTATATCGGATAATCAGTTACCGGTATGCAATTGGTATTCCTAAACTTGATAGCAAAGGCGACGAGGCGTCTGGCGAGCCGGTAAACCGGTTACAAACCGAATAGATGGGCTGATGTGGGCAGTTTTTTAATCCACCTTACAGAACCCTCCATTGTCAGCCATAATGGTGAAAAAGAAGAATTGTCGTCGCTGGAATTGTCATTCGCATCGCCATAATCTCTGTCCTCAAACTCAACGAAGAGTCGACTCCTCGCCTGTTCTTCACATTCTTCCCTTCTTCTGCCTTCTTAATCCTTTCCTTCTGCTTCTCCTTCTTCAATTCCTTCTCAATACAATAGTTACCAACCTCAATCGTCGGAATCAAACCTTCTTCTGACCATGACCATTACAAGTTTCAAGCAGCGGAGGCAAGCAGTATACCTCTTTGTCTCGTGGACTACTGGTGGCTGGTGAAGAGAAGAGGAAGAAGGAGAGTCGGCTTTTGGGAGAGACGAGGTGTAAATTCAATTATGGGTGAGTCTAGGGTTGGTAATCCGTTGCGTTTACCCCTTTCAAGATTGTTTGCAGTATTCCGGTATACCAGCTTTTCGTCGGTTAGTTATCAGATATTATCCGGTATACCATTTTTCCATATAGTTGTCGCATATCGATACCGCCAATAACCGACTCGGTAACCGGTTATACCTTTAATCGAGTTACCGAATACCATGCCTTGATTTGACCATGTCAAATTGATGTTTGGATAGAGTTGGATGGAATCAAATAGGATGTACTTTAATTTGAATTTCATTAATTTACATAATAATTAAAAAAGGACTCGAATTGAAATTTCGATCAAATCGAATTTGACCAAATACACTTTCAAAAGTTTCCACTTACTTTTGATCCTCCACGTTCCTTTAGCTTTAATAAGATTTTGTCCAAATTTGACATAATTTTTTGAATCGAATCGTGATACACCTCTACCTATAATCCCATTATTTTATAGATTATATTCAACAAATTCAATGAATTTTAATTGAATTTATTAATTTGTCCTAGTTGTTGTTGTAGCAAAGATAAAGAAACGAAAAATAATTGCAATAATAACAAAGGATATGTATTTTTACATACTATTAAAGAGATCAACAATCTATTGGAAGAAAACCTTGGAGTTTGAATGTAAGATCGATAGGTTTTTCCCCGGTTGTGTAAGAAGCAAGGTTGTCAAAGCGGCTTATACAGTCACGTCGGTTTAGCAAGTGGAATGTTACGATCATGGTACAACCGGTTTGTGTCAGTTCATGTTGGCTTAATAAAATAAGACATTCCAAATAAAGTAACAAATACTCATATTTAAATACGAGTGAAATCTGGATTTTAAAGCCCATAGATCTACAATAAAATCTAGATAAGAATAAGTAATAAGTAAAATCGTAAGATTTTAGGATTTAAATCGGGCATTTTGACTACTTTGTAAATAAGAAGTTCATCTAGCGTGATGACCAAAACATGACATAATGTGCTGGTATGACCAAAAGTAATGTTCATGTACTGGGATGACCAAATCATTAAAGTTTTAGGGTCAAATTGACCTTCTTGCCTAAAATTAATTGTAAAAAAAATTTGAATCTAAAGTAGTCGTTGCATCCCTGTGTAAAGAGAGGAAGCACAAGAGGATCTATCCGGATGATGCGACCCTCCATAGTCACCCAACTCACGCAGTTGCTCGATGTGGAGAGAAGGACGTACCATGTGGGAGCAAGAAGACAGGTGGGAGTCAGAATCCCCGATCATATGTGGGGATTCCCCGCCCGAGAAATTCGAGTAGCAATGATGGCGCTCTGGTGCGTGATCGATCTTTAAATTTATAAAGTCGAAACACACGCTCTGATTAATCCTAACTAAGCCAAGTATAACCTAGCTAGGGTTGTAGTAAAGTGGCTCGGTCGTATTCCAAGGTATCCCTAAGTGTATTATTATTTCGCTCCGAACTACTATCTAATCAGGATGGAAGTTTGGTAAGGGGTTTAAGCTAAATTAACCTGCTCCTAAGGCAAATAAACAACCAACCAAGTGGTTGGGAGGACGCTAGAGATGAGATGGTTGCCTAGGGTCGAATCCTCCTAGCTAAGGTTGTAAAGTAGGGTT